TGCAGCATATCGCTACTAGAATGATACCAACTCTAGGAAAGTTTCCGTATGAAAAAGGATGTGGAAGGCTCTGACTCTACACACTATCCTGTCGCCGAGTAAGAATTGACCATATTATAGCTCATCGAGTACTACACTCGAATCACTTCCCCATACTGCGGTCAATATTTCACCTGCGGAACCCTGTAACACCCGAGGACACCGTTACAGACTGAGGATCCCCTGTGTGAACAAAGTATCACATCAGCTTTGTATCGGACGAAGAATCGTAAACTTGTGGAATACACTACCAAAAGGATTAACAGAGGCCGATTCTGTGAAGTGTTTTAAAACCCGTATCGACGATTATTTCGGAAACCTGTGCTTTTGTGGAACGATGCACATACAATGCTAAAAGAAAACATCGAATGCCCGGAATTAATGACGCCATTACAAATTTCTAACCGAACAATGATAAACGATTAACGGACCAGAGACAACCGCTGATGATGATTTTTGATTTTTCGTAATTCGATAGAGTTGTACAGAAACCTTTCTACTTGCTCTTAAATACAGTCTCAGTACAATCTTTACCAGTGCGATGACTATACATACTGAACAGAACCATAATGAATGTTGTGTACTATAGTATATCTTCAGCTGGTTTACTGTGAGCTGGGAACATTTGCGATTTAACTTGCCTTGGCAACTGCCACACTGGATCCCTATCCATAGATCTTAATGGCATGAGGGAAGGCCACAAACTACTGTGAATCTGGATGCGGTAACATGGGCTTTTGATTGGTCGTCACCATTTATTGCGTTGATCGATGGTATTCCCATACAGGCTCGTGCGCTTATGGTTGTCTACCGGTCCCTGTTGCACCGGATTGTCTACATGTTCAAGGTCGTCACCTCCTCTGCGTCTGGCCCAGACGGAGCAGACTTAAGCTAAATCGTTCACTTGGCAAACAGAGCGACTGAGCGATACGGGCACAAAGTGTATGATTGCTACTTTGATGATCGGTCCACAGCTGTGGTTGCTAATTCATCAGATGAAACGCGGTTGCTTTTCATTTGAGACCACAAATATTTCTGTGTGGTTCGTAAATCGGAAATTTCCTAGATTGTGTTTTCTCGGGAATGGGGCAAAAACCGCAATGTGGAGACAAAAGGCGATCCACACAAGCTTGATCCAACAGATGGAGTGCACCAGATAGCGCTGGTGAAGCTGATCGTATGTGTGTGAATACACATGCGTGTGACAAAATACAAATGAGAACGACGGCAATACAATGTGTTCACAGGTGAGCGATTAGAACGCAGGTTCGTACAAGGTCGTTCAAGGACAATGATTCAGACGAAAGGCGTTATGACTGTTTGTTTTTATAAATAACGCAGAGCTTCATCATTATACAATCCAAGTAACTGTATAAACACAGTATCTTGACATAGAGTACTCTCGCCAAGTTGCCATGCCAGAGCGTACCACCAGAATAATAGTGATCATTCACCTTAGTGATTCTTATGCAGTACGCAACACGGTGCTGCAAAGAACTTACCACAGCATCCACCCTGAGTACATGGGCCTATCACAGTAGTCATTCAGTAACTCTACCTCATTAATGTTACCCAAATGTCTTGTGCTATGATTGGTCATTTACCTGTTCTACGCCGTTACATGGTGGTGCTTGTTTGACCTTCATGGCAAAGCCGAAGCACACTTCCATTGCCACTCAGCCCATGACCATGGTTTGTGGCTTCTGCTTCAAGTCCACCGACATCAGTGTACGGATAACAGGCGATGTTTCGTAGCACTTTTGACATCATCTCATTAAGGCTGTAGATCGTCTCAGTGGCAAACCATCGAATTGACGTCTCTGCCGATACGATCCTCAGTGGATACAGTATGCTAGCCTGAAGTAATTTATGACACCTTTGACACCACAGGGGCTTTCCCCTGATCTGTGTGGTTGTGTGTGTAGAACTCCAAGGAAAACCATCCTACCTTACTGCTGTAAGATTAGGTTCATTAATTATATGTGTCTAAAGCACGGTTCGATCTGCCAGCATCACAGTCCAAGGAGTTGTGCTCGTATAAGCTAGCGGGAGCACGTTTGCATCCATGCAGTAACCTATAGGTGGTGATGTGTATGTTATTTTCTTATCGACAAATATGGCCGACTCATTCATTTTGTTATAGGTAGAAATTCATCACATCTAGGCTCACTTAGACAGCCGTCACACGCCCGGAAAAGCACTGTACGCGCGTTTCATCGTTTCAGGAATCGTCAGCATTGCTCATTCCATCGAACCCTGGTAGGGCTCGAACCCGCAACTCGATTGTTGCCAGTCCGTGGTTGAGACCACTGAGCTACGGGGGACGGTAAGGACCATCGTCGGAGCAGTGCAAATTATGCCTCCTCCCTACGTACGGGGAAGCTTTTAGGGTTGTTTATCAAATGATGAATGGCGCACCTGTCGAGTGGTATCGCGAAAGGAAGTTACGGCAAAATAAGCTGTCTTTTTCTCGTCTACCTAGTCAGTTTGATAACCCAGAATCCTCAGCTCGACTTGCTGCGGAAGGCGTCGCGTGGCTGACACTGATTACCCGTCCAAATTAGCTATCCTGCTCGGTAATCTATATTGTTAACCAGATTACAATGCGGCTGATAACGGCTGTAGGGAGACTGCTTCAATGAGACCACATTTTCTTTACCTTTTGTTTAGGACGGTGAATTATTGAAAATGCTCTGAGAATTTTCTTCCCATCCTTTTGTATTGGACTAGTCTATGTCACTGCATCCGCAGCAACAGTACAAGTACGTCGATGCTGCCAGAAGTTACTTTGCTAATCGCACATTGGGCCGTTCCGTCTTTATCGTCACCATGGAAAATCCTGGCGACCAGTACTCTTACTCTCGTTTTGTGTCAAATGTGTGATTGCCTATGTTTTCCACTGTCTATAGTCACCACCGTTTATTCAAGGTATTTAAATCATTTTACTATATTTGTAAACTCTGTAGTATATTAGGACTAAGATGAACGCATTGAACAACCTGATTTCTGAATACTTCACATTTCAAAGCATACTTCGTTACTGCATTTATCACGCTTACTGTTCCGAGTGGGACCGCAATATAGTTTGAACACCGCAGTGTGAGAGCTCAAGGAAGCCGGTTTGTGCACTTATATGAGAATTTCATCGGAGAGGTGGAAGTATCTATCAATTTACACCATCTCAGATAATGTGTTAGATCACCTCAGGCATAGCCAGTATCACCACACTAACTGAAGCATAATCGGCAACAGGTTTCCCTTAGATTTAAGTCGCTTACAGTGCGAACGAAGTAAAGGAAATACGATAGACGATTGGGTGAGTTACATAAATGTTTACTAGAACTTTTTTGAGGTTCTTCGAAGCCAGACTGTCAGACAGCCACCTTACCTCCGTATAAGTGATGGGCGACAGTTTCTTATTACTGGACCTCTTTAATAGAGCGTGTTCGCCGGATACTGCTGGATTCGAATCCCTGGCCTTCTACTCACGAGCCAGCTAATTAAGCACTCTGCCCATAAGTAGCAATTCCGGGTTGTCAATACTGATTACTGAATGCGATACAGTGCGTTTTGCCGTGCGCCATATTAGGCTTCTCATGAACGTTCAGTGCGCAGAGTTGGTCTTCAGGGCTGACTTCCTTTGCAAGTCGCTGCCAGTCTGAGTGACTTGGAAGCTCCTAAGTGCAGCTACGTGATGTTAACGAGTCCCAATAATGCGAATCAGAAGTCTAGAACCCTTCTAACCAAAGGTATCAGTAGTACGCTAGCACACCGTTCAGACACTTCGCTGCCACACGACCACCATCAGTCGCGTGTGGTCTGGGCATACCGCAAGGTCGCCGCGACTACTCTGATTCGACGCGGTGACCTCCGGATTACAAGGTAGGCGCAAAATCCTGTCGGCCACCGGTGATGAGCGCACTTCTGCATATGTGTTGAATATTAGTCCCAAACGAACCTACTGAAAAAGCAGAAAAAGCTCATTCTGCTCTCCAATAATTTTAATGAAACATTTCTACAAGTGCGAATGCTCGAGGAATACCAGAGCCGAATCCGGCTCAAGCATACTCAAATGCAATCGAAATTGATTGTCTTGGTGACAGGTGTACCAAGAGGAGCAACCGGCTTAATGTAATGAGATCAATGTGCGAATAATGTAGCTACCTAATTCACCTGAGCACATAACAAGGTGTATTTGGACTATCTTACGCAAAAAGCGCAAATCAGACGGTGTACTTTTCGAGTCGCTGTATTTCCTTGTTCAACTCAACCAATAGCTCCTTAAATACTCAGATCATGTATGCAACGGTGTATGAGTTATCACCAATTAGTGACACAACTCAACACGCTTATCACTTTTGGTGGACTATTCGCATTAACTGCAATTAACGACTATTACCGACAGCGCCAGAACCAACTATTTTGTGTTCCCGTATTCAAACGAAAATCTCATCAACTTTATCCAACAAGATGTGTCCGAACCTTTTCGTTGACTTTTTTTTATTCATCATGCTATGGTAGTGCTTGAATTCAACAACATTCCAAACAATTGAAAATTTGCATAGTGAATTGCAATGAACTCATGATTCTGCACTCGCACGAAACATATACCGAGCTTAGATGGTAAAATCTGTATGTTTTCTGACAAGTTAACGTATTCGAACCGGTAGCATTTTTTTAGTTTTCTTATTCAAGGTTTTGTTTCTCAGTAGCACTAGGAGACAGTAACTAAGCGGGCTATCGTTGGCATTGAGTTTGCATCCATTTCGTAGGCAAACGATTACTACTGATTCCCTAGTGATAATTTCTGACCACATATAGCAAGGTCCTATTGGTATTGCGCTATTGGTGAAATGAACCTTGTGTAGAATGTGTATCGCCCAACATTTTGAGGTTTATTTACTTGTATTAAGTTGCCAATTTCTGTTTCCTGAAAATTGCGCTTTCTTCCATTGTGTCAGTCGATTCCAGACCTGTGCAACATGTTCAAAGAAAACTCGGTTATCACTGAACTGATTCTATCGGATAATCACATTACATCGAAACATGCGGAGGCACTGTGTGACGTTCTCACATCCAGCGCGCAGTTGGAAAGAGTAGACCTCCACGGCAATCGCTTCGATGATAAAGCTAGCGTGTATTTCTCCGAACTAATGGCGGTACGTCACAAATTTACCCATAAGTATCCTCTATGGATGTTATACATCCCGACTTAATCAAAGGCGTACTAGAAAAGGATAAAAATGTCAAATCAACGGACTAATTTTTGGCTTATTTTGATGTGCCTTGTGTGGATGGATTTCAGTGAGCAGTCATAATTGAAAACATGGTTCACTTTGGTCAGCTGGGACACACGACAAAACAACTAACAGGTAGCAAGCGATGAGAAGGAATTTTAACGTATTTGTTGTTTGACATTTCGCTGGAAAGTGTTAAGTGAAACGATCCTTGTCACAGTTAATCTCAAAAATAGTAAACTGTAATTCACCGCTATCAGTGAGACCATCATTAGCCACAAGGTAGTTATATGGGCAGCGACACCCAAATTAAATTCGGTAATTAAAACACGGTGGTACTGCGTTTTCACGTTATCCAAAAATATATGATTAATCCAATTATAGTGCTTGTCATGCAAATTGACTGCGATAGGCCTTCTCTATCTGCACTGTGATTTACTCAGTTGACCACGCAAAACGTTTTTTCCCTATTCCTGTCTTGTCCATACCAATGACGTGGATGAGTCCCATCACATCAGCAGCACAGCCGCTCCGGCAGATGACTTCACATGATGCAGCGAACGCGATTGGGGAACAGTTTACCTGCACTTTCCGAAGTGATTCGTCCCCTCACCTGTACATGACACAGTTCACTTCGTCCCCAGGATTAAGCAACGGATTCTTCCCTGCTGCAGATGTTATGAAAGGCTACTGTCCTTACGCGTGCACAGCTCCGCTGGTGTGGACAATATCAGACCGAAGGCATTAAAGACCATCGCCATGAATCTTGCCGAACCGCTGGCCCAGTTCTTCCAACGAAGCTTTGAGGAAATGCAGGTTCCGACCATGTGTAAACAGGACATAGTTACTTTTGTTTTCAAGAGTGGGAGTCGTGCGGAGCCTTCTAACTACCGTCCAGTCGCCCACCATACAGTTTTACCCAAAGTTATGGAAGGAATATTCGCAGAACCGCTCATGGAATACTTTGACAGCAACGACGTCATAGTCACAGCAGCATGAATTCCGAGGGAATCGGCTCTGCACCAAAAACTTGTTACTAGTCCGGGCAGGCTGGACGAAGTCAGCCGATGCCAGACAAGAAGTTAATGTCGTATGCCTGGACTTCTCTAAAGCAGTCGATCACCTGGACCATCGAATTCGCCTTCACATACTTTGAAGCTATAGAATTGGTGATCATGTTGCGTAAATAACTTCCTAATTCAGTCAGCCGAATGTGAGGTTCCCTGGATCCATCTGCGACCCGATCGAAATCCAGTGTGGAGTGCTCCAAGGATCGGTACTGGGACCACATTTGTTATTTGTATTTTTCAACTATCATGCTAGGGTGCTCCAGTCAGACTTATTACTATCTGCAGACGACGTCAAGATTTGGCATGACATCCAGAGTGTGGACGACCACGCGGCACTACAATTAGATTTCAACGGAACCTACACATAATCTTCCAAAACCCGGCTTCCGTTTAACTTGGCGAAATGTAACGTTTTTGAGCATACGCTATCAGTGGCTCACGAATATCGACGGGAAGAGCAGCTGTTGTAACATGCTACGCAGGAAAACGACCTCGGGGTAATCGTACAGGAGGACCCTGGCTAATTGAAACAGGCGAAGGCGCATCGATAAGAGCCATTCAGTACCTTGGACTCCTACGACGGGCGTTCGGGAATTCCGAGCCGTCAATCTTTCCACAAATGCTGAATGCTTACGTGAGACCGCACATTGACTACGCGATCAAATGCTGGCGACCCAGGCGCAAACAAGATGCTGCTGCGTTCGAAGCTCTACGACGTAGGGTGACGAAAATCGCTAAAGGATTGTTTCACCTCTCCTGCCAACTCAGACTGCAGACCCTAGGATTGTACATCGGCGAATACCGGCGCCTACGATAAGACCTTATTATGATATGCCAAATACCGGCTACTCGCAATCACGCTTGTAGCGATCTGTTGCAAGTCAGCCACAATAGCAACCTGAGAGGCCACCAGCTCAAACTGACCACACACCACAGTCGATTTGATAGCCGACATAACCTTTTCTCCTTTCGGGTATCCAGAACTTAGAACCTTCTTTCTTCTCACGTTATTTTCGCCTCACATGACCGCTTTTTAAGAAATTATGGGACAATACACTATCCCATTTGCATCACGTGATAGTTCGCTACCAGCAAAAGAAGAAGTAACAAACAGTGGGCTCGCCTACACTCTCCGTTATTTGTTTGTCCACACGGTTGCACCGTCGCCCGCATACCACTGGGACGGCATTAACTTGAACTTACAAACTTAATCGGGAAAACAAACCTGCCCAACACCATCCACCGTAGCTCACAGTACACCGTGTCAAGTGCCTTGGTGAAATCTATAAATGTCGAGTACATTGGCCGGTATAGCTCTCGACGTTCCTCCTGCAACTGAGAAGACGTGCATACCATATCCATGGTGCTAGGGCTCGAAGAAATCCGTCTTGCTCTTCCTCCACGTGCTATTCAACCACCTAAGTGGCGAGGCGCTATCATTTTTCCAACATGACTCAGCAAGTTGATCCCACAATGCTTCGTGGCACATTGCTTGCAAAGTGATGGTACAATGGCATCCTTCAAGTCAGTCGACATTCTTCCTTCAAATCACTCGCGTTTCACCACTTGGTGCTTTGCAATTATCAGCGTGGATTCACCTTGTTTCAGCTCTTCTGGCAGTCTTCCAACCGCACATGCCGTTTCTCAACTGAGCAACTACTCTCACAGTTTCGGCAGCCCGTGCTACGTATCCCAACCAATATTTGAATGACTGTTTAGGAGACCTTTGGTGTTTTTACACCACAACTGCATAATGTCCGCAGTGTGTGTGCATGCAGTACCCAAAGCTGTGCCCACCGGCGTCTTCACGGGATGAGAGATGGGTTCACGCGCAGAGTAGGAGCAGGACAGTATTGTTAGAAGGCATGTGACATATTGTAGAACACAGCTAGGGTCACACCGATGTACCAGGATAGTAGCCATGGGAGCATTCTTTGACCACGAACAATGCAGCCGAAGATGGCCGTGATTCAAATTCCTCAACCACCAAATATGTACTGAGTTATTCTGCATTTATCAATGCAGAAGAAACACTGAAGGACAAACTAAATTCCTCACGTGCGTTTTAAAACTAATTATTTTCGAATGATTTGGCCACAGCATCACCATAACGGAAGAGTTGTGGGGTGGCTGTTTAAAATGTTTCAGAATACTGCATATCACTTCAATGGAGATGAAAGTTGGCATGGTTGCGAAAGCTTTGCAACCAAATTGACAAGCTCGACGAATAAATAAACAAATGGGTCGCAGCATATTCATTTATACTCAATAATGAGTAGTTTATTTGCAAACAACAGCGCAGATTAGAGCACAACATAACGGTCTATTCCACATTCTGAGTTCCAAATGTTCCCACAGAGTGCTCCACAGGAAGACATTCGACTGGAGGAGATATTACGGTTTTTAGAGGTAGATGGGAGCAGGAAGGGTTTTAATCTGTGCCACAATAAGTTCCTCGTGGCCCTAGCTATAAGACGACACCGATGGACATTGCCAGCTGGGTAAAGTATAGTTGCAGCACACGACTCGGTGGCGCGATGGGGACCAGGCAATGTGCTAAACAAAAGGCGTTGCGTGACTCAAACAGGCAAAAAGCACGCACTTCAACATTTCGCACCGATCGTAAAAGTATACGATGGAGTAGTAATTTTCGTTAGAATTTCACACAACGAACTCAATCAAAGCGGGAACATCTTCCGACTGCTACAGATACAGCTAAGCCACTGGTTTCCGTAGTATTTCATAACATTCTAGGCATCTAGCCAGTGGTCCCAGTCGAAAGATAGCAGTCGAACACCGTCTTTCTTTCGGTTCTTGTTCTCTTGCGACCTCATCCATGGATTATCTGGTTGAGTTATGGATGCAACTGCAGTAACAGTAGCATGTCAAACATCAGGGTATTCTGCTATTATTCATGCGCATAACTTAGATAACCGGCGCATGAGGTACAAACCCATCAAGGCAGGTTACATAAGAATTTCCTTCTGGTTAAAAGGTGAAATTTTTCTTACTTCGTTAAATAATTCAGAGATAGTGTGTAACTAAAGTGCTTGTGTGGCGCATGACGGTGGGGCTTGAAATCCCGTCACTAGATGTGGGACACTCACTGTGTACCTCACCTCCCCTTCCTACTTCTGGAACGAATTTTATAACAATGAACGCGTACACAGAGTAAGCATTAAGAAGGTACGGGCATATACGGTGGTAGGGGGTGGATAAATGCTCCACAGCAGTATCGCAAGCCATTCCGAGTGGCAACTTTCACAAGACAGATTTCATGCTGTTGCAGAGGCCCAGCAGGACGGGTGAAATGATTTTCTCTGACCAGAGCTAGCTGAAACAGAATAGGATACTTCAAGCTCTCCATAGAGGCACTCTGCCTGGCTTTTAGCATCAGCGTGATGGGAAGTCTAAGGAATATGACGGCAACCAGTAAGCTGGGAAGTACTTCGGATTGAGAAACCTCGAATTCGCTTCTGTCTTCTATAGTGATAGTTAACCGATAAACGAGTTGCGATATTCGACGATCCAGTAGATCAAGTGTGCTCGTTCGAGACGTGCTTTTGGTTACCAGAATAATCTACAGTCAACTAGTAAGGCAATTTATACGCTGTACTTTTAGATGAAGTAGCGGAAAGGAGGTGGCGAGCCTACCTGGCCAAACTGTGTAGGTGGAAACTGAGAATGCGTTGCAGGAAAGGAGTCAAAGAGACCATGTCATATAACAGAAGGCAGATGGACCGGTTGATGAACCGTGAAACCTTCTTCCGGTATTGCTTCCATATATTGGGTTGGGTGTATCGGTGTCCGGATTTGTCCGTCACTGTGGCCTTTATAGGACAACCACAGGAC